TTATATTTGTTAGAAGAATATATCTGAGATGATCTTTGCAATTTGTTAGGGAACTGAGGCCTGAAGAAATTAGGCTGCATATAAACCAGAAAATAACATTTTTTTTAAAGGAAATGTCAGATTCTGCATATACATTATAATTAAGTAAAAACAACTGCTGTTAATTTATGTTTTTAATAGAAAGGGAAATCAGTTATGCCTTACTCCAGCTTTTAAAAGGATACCATCCAAAGACGGAGTATACAGTGTATCTAGCAACTATGAATATCTTGGCTGTTTGAGATTTTATGTTCTTTAATAAAACATTTTAATGGGACTACCTCAGGAATTATTTAATTGTAGGCTTTCCAGTGCCAAGAGTATTTAATTAATTTATAATTCTGACATCTCTGTTGTGCTTGGTTGGGCTAAGAAGAAAAGGCAGTACCCCTTGTAATCCAACAGAAATTGCTTGCAATTAGGAGGCATTCTAGCTCACAAATTTATCAGCCAAAGTCAAAGTCACATTATCTTTTACTTAGGATAAAGGGGAGAACACCTAAAAAAACAGCTGTTCCATTTATCGGAATTAACTGGGGAGGTGGCAAAACACGAGGACAGTAGTTGTAGGCATGCAACTGGGTTTCTTGTTTTCTACAGTTCTCTTTTACAGGTAAGTCTCTATTACATGATTAAGAGGTCTGTCCATAAAGCAGTTACATATTGGGGGTCTCTTAAAATCTGGAGCATACTTGGTACATCTCTTCATGACTTCGCAATTCATCTTTTAATATGATTCTTTCAAAACCTACATGAGACTCTCTTGATTTTAATTCTCCATGGAAGAATTATGTCCGTTTTTCTGATCCTTGGGACCAGGATTTTAGTGGAGATTTTTTTTTTTTTTTTTTTTTTTTTTTTTTTTTTTTAAGTATTCAGTGCTTTTCTTTATGAAAGGGCAAAGACTTATTATGATGATATCTTTTATTGGGCCAACTGAACTGCTTACTTGGAACAGAGTTAGACAAACTTTAGAGTGTAAGATATTCTTCAGAGGCTTCCTTTGGAACCCATCAATCCTTGCTTGGCTACAGAGTTCAACACATTCAAAATTAAAACATGTTATTGTGCTTCTAGTACATTTACTGTTTTCAATGCAAGTATTATAAATACCAGGTGCAAGTATCATCTATTCCCATGAGTATCCTGTCCATTTACATCTCAACTGCAAAAGCTTTCTATGTAGAGCAAAGATGTTTGCTCACATGAAACAATGAGAAGCTGACTTAATGACAATTTATGCCACAAAACATGCACTAACACAGCCATTCAGGAGGCAACTTGTCTTAAGTCATCATTTACAAGTTTCCCAAAGTTAACAGTAATGCTTTGCTTAACTTTTCGTTAAACGGTGCCTTTGTGAGGCAACTGGTTTTTGCTAGTCCCTTGGCTTGCTATTGAAGACATTTCAGTCTATGTATACGTACCTTTCATCCAAAAGGATTCCAAAGCATTTGCTTACTATATAGGAATTACTTCACCCAAACTAAAATGAAGATGCTTCTAGAATAAAATGAGGCAACCATTTAACAATACACAGTGGTTTAGGCTAGTAAATGAAGATCACCGCATCCAACTGAAATTACAGGGGAAGGTTTAAGAAAGCAGGATGTAATTTTTCAAAGTTTTGTGAGATGGATCATTGCCCTTCTAGGATGGTTAAAGTAGTGGAGACAGTGGGCCTTTTGCTAAATTTACTGGTGGAAACTCTGAATGCACCCCTTTGACAGGGCCCTCTATTGATGACTTTATAAAGATGCCATAATGCATCCCTTACTTAAAATCAGCATGGAAAACTTCTATGGGAACAGCATGCAGTTTCTACCTTTTAAGTAGGATAGTTTAAGACAGCAGTATGTTACTGTTGCTGCTGGATTTCTTAAAACATACACAATCTAAAGGAAATGTAATGCGCAAGTCAAATAATAAAAATAAAGGACAGAAAATATACTAATCAGACTTGCAGTTGACACAAAATTAGGAGAAGAGGTAACCACTTTGGAGGATAGGATTAAAATTCACAGGGATCTTACTACATTGGAGAACTGGGCTACAATCAACAGCATTAAATTCAAGAAAAACAAATACAGAATGGAAGATAATTGGCTTGGCAACAGCACTGCCAAGAAGTTAGGCTAGACCACAAACTAAACATGAATCAGCATTGTGATGCAGTCCCAAGAAAAGCAAAGGACATTTTGGGTTGCATTAACAGAAACCTTGTATGGAAAACATGGGAAGTGACAGTAGCACTCTATTTGGTACTCATTAGGCCTGAACTGGATTACTGTGTCCAGCTTTGGGTACTGAATTTAAGGATGTAGACAAACTAGGAAGGATCTAAAACCTAGTGACAATGATGACAAAGGTGTTGGAATGCAGGTCATAGGAAGAAAAGCTGAAGGAACTAGATATATTCAGTATTACCAATAGGATTCTTTTTGACAGAGACCCCCAAGGATTGACATAGCCCTTTGTCTGATATGGTATCAGATAATCTTTAATAGTAACCCCTAGACAATATTACCGGTTTCTTCCCTGACAAGCAGCTCTATAGTTTTCTCAGCAGTGACCATTGCGGGTACCAGGCCCCAGGTCTTTCACTGGGCGCATGATGTTTTGCATCCTCCATAGTACAGTGGAGGATACAGCAGCTGTGTCTGTCTTCCCAGAACCACTACATGCTTGCACACGTTGTCCTTTGTGTTAACTAATTTTATGTTTTTTCCCTAAAAAGTTGTCCAATCCCTTGGCACTAAGCCACACATTCCTCACATAGTACACCAATCCTATCCTACTTTTGGTTATCTTTCCTTATAGGGAAAGTGCTATATATTGCTCACCTATAGTACTCCAATTACAGCATTTACTTCTTCCAATGTCTTATAAGGTACTCTTCAATGTTATTGCTTTGTTCCAGGAAGGCCTGGACTACGGCTAAAAGCCTTAGCATACCTGTTTGCCTGCTATCGATTTGGAGAACACACAGTGCAATAGTTCTGCAAAGAAGATGGAGAAAATTTGTTCTCCCTTGCCACAGAAGGAAGAACAAGAAGCAGTTGATCTAAACTATAGCAAAGTAGATTTAATTTTAGGTAGGGGGAAGCTTTCTAAACGTAATAACTGTGACAGCAGAACAAGCTACCTTGGGAAGAGAAGCAGTGAAGTCTGCACCTCTATAGGAGGTTGAACTAGATAATCTTTAAGTCCCTTTCAATTCTATGATTCTTTTCACATGCAACAAAACAGAAACAATGGACAAGAATATAAAGACTTTATGAAAAGTGATTTCAAGGTATTTAAAGGTGAAAAGGCAAAGTTGCCTTGCACATGGGAAAGAGGGGAGATTATTCAAAATATTGGACATGCTAGAATTATAGAGAAGTCTAAGGAGTGAGAGGCATTTTAGATGCAGTGATAGCAAAAATGTGGATAGGACCATGTAAGAGGATGAAAAGTCTGAAATTAAGGTGAAAGATTAAAAAAAATACAGAGATTGAAGAAAGGGATCATGAGATCAGACCAGTATAATCTTATAGGGAACATTCTGGCAGAAAGACCAAAACAATTGTTCAAGCCATCCTTTCCATTGTAAGTGAAAGCCAGCCCTGTGGAGGGAATAGACAAGTCAGTGGGGAAGTTTGCGAAAACGACATAATCCTCAAACTATTCCTTTCTATTCCAAATTTGCAAATGTGAAATGAGTAATATGAGTTTGTAAGCCAGCAGTTCTCTGCACCTGTTCTAACTTTGGCACCAACTACACATGGCAGAAGCAGTTCACACAGCATCCCACATGTCCAAACTTGATGGATGGGCCAGGTCAGAGTGAGGGGAAAGGTGGAGCATCATGGAGCTAGAGAAGCCACATGACATAGGCCACAAGCATCTTCAGGTCTCACTGAATAAAATAGCAGAGACAAGAACAAAAAAACCAAGAAAAAAAGAGGAACAAACTAATGATGGTCCAATAACTAGGAAAAAAAGCTGGTCTTGAAAATGGCTAGAAGGCCGAACACACACAGGCTGAAATTCTTGTAACTCACTCTCAAGCCAAAGCAGTTGAGGACCTTAAGTGGGAAGCATACATCCCTTTCTACCTTCGATGAAGAGCATGATGGGAGGCAATGTATGTGTATATTGTACAGGTATTGCTAGGATAAAAAAAACAGTCACCAAGATTGAATACTTGAGGCTCATGGTCACCTGCACTGGAATGTACATACATGAAAGCCTTCAAAAGAAACATATGCAACTGACTTCCCTGAAGTGTCAGTGTTTGACCTCCCTATACCTCATCCAGCAACAGTCTTCTGCTGAGTGGAGGAGGAGCCAAAAAGACGACAAATTAGGAAAAAAATATAAAAAAATATATATAATGAGAAGGAAAAAAGAAGAATTAAAGTAAAAAGGTCAGAAGAAATAAAATGGAAATAAAAACCGCCTGCTTATAATAAAATACAGGATGAGAAACCCTTCATTCAAAAAGGATCTCAAACAGAAAAATGTTATCAGCTCCTATACTAAAGAATTAAAAAAGAAGAACGTTCCTGGAAGAATTTTAAATATCTGAAAGCAATAATAAAAATGCCCCCCCCAAAAGATAATATATTTGGTGAAGTTTCCCATACTCTAGAATTATATTGTATCTAAGTATGCATCCATATAGCGCACAGATGCATGCTTGAGGACATGCACAAACGCTTACACACTAGACTTGCATATAGGCCCAAAAATACAGAGATGTTACGATGAGAAGTCTTTTCTCTCTCCTTTTAAAAATGCCTTAATGCATCTAAAGAAATTTAAAAATGCATCAATCATTGAATGATGGAACAAAGTATATGGCAATATTAACTTCGCTATAGAAATAAGATAGCTTTGGATATTTATTTATTTTTCTGTAATCACATAATCATTTAAAAATAAAAAATAAAAAAATGTAATCCTTAATATCTTACCTCAGCAGTAGTGAGGAAAATTTCATCAGTTATATGCCTCACTCCACAGGAAACAATGCCAAGGGCAACTCCAGGAAACACATAGGCATTGTTACCTTGTCCAGGATAGAGAGTGCGCCCATCTGGAAGTGTGACAGGGTCAAAAGGACTTCCACTTGCAAAAATACCACGTCCCTAAAAGAAAATATGCTTTGAAATAATGGTTATTTTGAAAGGAAACTTTCTTTAAGGCCATATATAACCATTTATCACATGGAAGTTGGGTTGAATCTACATTTAGTTAAATCTTCTTCAAGCTCTTTGGGGATACTAGATATATTTCACAAGAGAAGTTATGCTTACAGGCTTACATACTTTTAGGTACAAGTCATGATGGGGAATATAGGTGCATACAGAAAAGATATGGGGAGATGTTTAGATCTGTACATTAAAAAAAAAAAAAAAAAAAATCTAATTTTGCCTTTTGTACACTTCAGATCATCTCAGTTAAGCTTTCAGGTCTTACATTTTTCAGTCAGCCTGAAATCTATCCTGTGCAGAAGGACCTGCAAAATCTATGCACCACGTAAATCCTTGTAATAGGCCTTACAAAGGATTTAAGTAGTCCATAAGCCTCGTGCTGGCGCTTTGTGCAGGAATTAATTCCACTGTTAGCAAAGGCCTCTCTTAGAGATCATTTAGGGCTAGCTAAAGAACTATCCTGGGAGTAACTGAAGCTTTATGTGCTACAGGATTGCATTAATACTTTCCCCATATAGCTTCTGATAGCTTTATCCAGCTTTCCATTTTCATCCATTTGCTAACATTTTAATTTTTATACTGTTAAATAGTTTCAAGACCCTGCTTGTAGCAGAACTATCTAAGTTTATCTTGGGGATTTTTTAAGTACCGATGTTCCTTTTCAGCTCCTCAAAGAATATTTTGTTTAGCTTGGTGTTGTACAGTGTTATCATGGCCTGTTTATTATATATATTGTGGTGACGAAGCAGATCTTTTACTGCATCTTTAGCTCTGGTTACCAGACGTAACTGCCCATTATAATTAGTCCTTTATATTATATGCCTTCCTGTTTGAGTCTTGCATTGCACTGTAATGTGTACTTTTCAGTAGGGAAACAACATGGTAAATTTCTGTTTGTATGTCAGTTTTACAGTATTTTAAAAAGCTTCTCTTTGTTTTGGGATAACTCCAATAAAGAACAAGTAATATTCTACAGACTGTATAAAGTCAGATATTCATATGACATTTTTTTACATTAATTTTAGGAAGATATGCCCTTTCATAGCATCTGATGAAGTGGCTCTTGCTCATAAAAGCTGATGTATTTCTGATTTGGTTAGTCTGTAAGGTGCTTACCTACCCTGCCTTCTGCCTGACTTCACACTAACATGGTTAGCTACCTCTACCATATCCCACCTCAGCATTCTCTCTTGCAAACTGAAGAGTCCTAGCTTCCTTAGGTCTCCCCTGGTATGGCAGCTGGCTCCATACCCGTGATCATCTTTGTTGCCCTTCTCTGTACTTTTCCCAGTTCTATTGCATCCTTTTTTATATGTGGAAACCAGAACTGAACAAAGTATTCAAAATGTGGGTACACCAGAGATTTACATAATAGCATTTCCTTTCTTTCCTTCCAATTTCTATTTAATGATGCCCAACATCTTACTGACTTTTTTGGTCATTGCTGCACATTATGCTAATGTTTTTATGAGAACTATCTATGATGACTCCAAGGTCTCTTTCTTGCATCACAACAGCTACTTCAGAACCCAGCATGATGTACCTATAATTGAGGTTATTTTTCCCTGTGTGCATAATTTTGTACTAGTCAACACTGAAATTCATTTGCCACTATCTTGCCCATTCACTCAGGTTTGCAAGATGGTTTTGGCAGCTTCTCACCATCAGCTTGGGGTTTAAATACTTGAAATAACTTAGTACATACTACAAATGTAGATATAATTTAAAAATATAAATTAAAAAATTATTGGTTTAATCTCCTCTAATTATATTGGTTAAACGGTTAACCTATAACATAGTCCCAGTGCCTGTCCCACCTCGTTATGGGGGAGGAGCTGCAGCCACCTGCCAGGAGCAGCACAGGGAGACAGGGGCCACGCACAGACCCACTCAGACACGGATGCTGCTGGAAGCTTCTCCCCGGGGCCGCCAAAAGGAGGCGACGGTGGCGGCAATAAGCCCCACCAGACAACAGAGGCCACATGAAGCCACCAGTGACAGCAGCAGGAGAGGGGCTTTCCCAGTCCATTGGAGCCACCAGCACACTGGGAGGGAGGGAGCAGACTAGCTATTGGTAGTAGTACCCCTTCCCCCTCCCTCTCTCCTCCTCCTCCTTCCCTCCCTCCCTCCTGCCCTGCCACCTTCCTGTTCCTGAAGCACTGCGCTGCTTCCGTTCCCTGCTAGACTCAGCCGCATGCTAAACATTAACAGGTTGGTAATGCAGTACTGGTATAAAATATACTTATTGTTTAAAAGTTTAAACATTTAACCTTTCACATCCTTAGTATGTATATTCAAAAAGAGGTCAATAAGTAGATAAGTCAATAAGTAGACTCCATTTGCAATATAGAAGAATCCTTAACACTCCGTTTCCTAAATGTTTATGAAGATAAACTACATCTATAGGGAAAACAGGTCAAGTTAAAGTTACATACTGAAGGGTCAAGTCAAGCATCCTCTAATATGAAGACCCAAATCTAATCC